GGATAAGAACCAAAAAACAATGCTTTGATGCAGTGAATGGCTTGTATAAAGTTATTTTGGGTTACAATATGTTATAATACAATGAATTTGATTGATTACAAGTACAAGAGATGCAGGAAGAATGTTTAGAAGTGAAAAGAAAAGACTTGTTGATATTTGGTCCCAAATGGGATAAGAACCCAAAACCATTGCTTTGAAGCTGTGAATGGCTTGTATAAAGTTATTTTGGGTTAGAATATTTTATAATACAATGAAGTTCCATAATTCGAATGAACATTCGACCCATCGAACTGGGGGGGGACTTATTGTTGGTGTAGGAATTAGCACCAACGACATACCGGCCTAAACCAAGACGGAATCGAATTAAACCAATAAATCGGGGAATCCCGGTTTATTGTCCAATTATTGCAAAAGGTGCTTTATTCCTAAAATGGAATAGACGACTTCGGATCATTAGGGTTTCGCAAACCCTAATCGAATATTTATGATAATATCTTCCGAAAATCTAAGGAAGAGGAGCATTTATTGTAACCCTAAATCCCTCGTATAAAGGGAGAAGATGTCTCTATTCTAGGGCATCGATCATTTAATAGCAAAAACCCTAGTTCTTCATTTGTTCTTGAGCAAACCCTAAATCGTTCATTTCTAGGTCGAGTCAATCCTTTTAATCCGTTTCAATTCGAGTTCTTGAGAGATTGTTCAAAGTGAATTTATTCTCCTTTCCTTAATAAATTCATTGTGTGAACCCTTGGTTCAACAGGGCGTATGTGTATATTTTAATGTTCTCTCAATTTGTGTGAAATGTGTCAAAATGACACTTTTGTGAAATAGAGGAAGTAGTAAATTAGAAAGTGCGGAATCCGACTTCTCCAACACTGAATACAAAGCAAAGCTTACATAAGTTCCTACTCCAACTACATTCTTATTCCAACAATAATTTATGTTCTAACAACTTCAACATAAATGCTTGTTTAGTTAATGACCAATAGTTTATACACGTTTAGTGAATGATCGCTAGCTACATATATGTATATGTTAATAATTGTGTCATTATGAAACAACAATATTAGAAATGTACCAAGATCATAATTCATTTGCCCCACGGTGGGCGCCAAAAAAAAAAAATCATAATTCATTTCATCGTAACTCATTATATTTAAGTCATCATCTGCTATAATAATTATTAATATATCTATTTTAAGAATTCAAATCATACATTTAAGTCATTTGTAAAATTTTATTGTTTGTTATGTTAAAAATTTCTCATATTCTTTATAAAAATATCAAATCAAACTATTTTGACATGTTTCTTATTAAAATATGGGATAGTTTATTTTACTATATAAAATAATGCATTTTAACAGCATAAATTTATGAATCTAAATAGAAAAATATTTAAAATTGACTCGTTGCTCAGTCAGAATTTGGTTGATATTTATATATTATTTAGTCAAAAATTTTGACTCGTTACAATTTTCTTCCATCAACTGAAAAAATCATTTTGTTTAAATAATCAAATCATAGCACATGCTGGAAAAACATATTATTTTATTGATGATATGATGATTTATCTGCTTCAAGAAAGTATAATCATACAAAGATAAAAAAGTTAAACATAATGCATGATAAGTGACAAATTATATGTAGATGTTATTTTAGGATTCGTGATTGGACGAGGTAGATGTTATTTTAGGATTGGCCGAGGACATCCTATATAAATCTCATATGCGGGTTTTTTAGAAGAAGTGTTTCCTTGTGTTCTTTAGTTTTTTTTCCGCTTAAGGTTTTAGCCTAATGCTTATGTCTTAGTTTATGGTTTCGTTTATGCTAAACTTCTTGGATATTTACTTTTTGAAATTGAAAATGCATTTTTGTTTTTTTTAGGTAAATAAATTGTTTATGAATATTTTTACCTTTGCTGAATATTATTACTTATTATTTTTGAAACCAATTAATAATGGTATTTTAATATCATTATTTACACATTTTAAGGTTGTGTACTTCCGTTTTATTAAGTTACGGATGAGAATCTTCAGATTCCAAACTAATCATTCCTCTGATGAAATTTGATTTACATCTCTAGATTCTGGTTCAACCCACCGGTTTAGGTTTCTCAACGACGTAGATACCTAAAAAAGTGGCAACAAAATGCATAAGTTCCAAAACAAATTATTTTGTTAGTAGAAGAAGTTCAAAAACAAATTATTTACAATAACTTAGGGAAAATTGTATACTAACCTGTTCATCCCAATCTGTTCTGAGAGTCATGATGGTAAGCACGCAAGTCTGAACGAATACCCCAAAGAGCATTCCGATCCATACACCCTAATTTATATATATAGAGCATTAGTGCTGGTATGATCGCAAACATATTGACAACTAAAAAAAAAACAATATAGTAAATTTTATAAGGGCAAAATGAAACTTACTTTAACTTGCAAACCAACAACGTAACCAAGGAACACACCAATAGGAATCCCAACAAGGTAGTAGCAAGCAAGGTTAACGTAAGCAACATATCCTTGCCATCCAGCTCCAATCGCAACTCCTGTTCCGGTTCAAAAGAACATAATGGTTTATATACATCGGTTCGATATTAATAACCATATCATACCTCAAAGTAGAAACTATGTATAATATATACCAGAGAGAACTGGTTGAACACTGTTCATGAGGATGGAAAAGGCTAAAAGAGGTGAAAGATCGGAGACTTCCGCGGCGACAGCTTCACTTTTAGTGAAAATGTAAGAAACTCTTCCTCTTAGAAACAAGAACACGAAGAAGAGAACTGTTCCTATAGATAGAGATGTGAAAACAGCCATCTTTGTTGCAAACTTGGCTGCTTTTGCATCTCCCCGACCCAACTCGTTGGACACTCTCACACTATAAATATAGATAGTATCAAAGAAGAAAATATATATCTTAACATTAAAAGCAAAAAAGATGACGAAGACATTGTAAATACTATTTAGTATCAATCATAAAGTGAAGTATGTAAGTAAGGATTTTATATATGTTATCTATGCACCTTGCTGCTGCCAAAAACCCAAGTGTTATCATCATCTCCAGTCCATTTATGTTGAGGCTACAAAACAATTGGTAAAGAAGAGTTTATTATCTGCTATTTTAATCTAACCTTCAAGAGTGAGCATGTGTAGATGTTTTTGAGATACTATTGGCTAAAGATATCAAAAGAGATAAAAGATCAACATTTCTTGTTAATTATACCAGATAGCTAGTGCATCAAGAGCCACCTCTGCGTTTTTCAAATTTCCAGTGAGTAGTACCAAAATCGAGTTGTACCATAACTCCAAGCTGTCCAAAATATGTGATTCATAAATAACAAGATTATAAAATTCTCAATATGTGATTTATTTTGGAAGAGGAAAATCATTTCTGACGACTTAAAAAGCTTAAAGAGCACGTGGTTCTGTGAACCTTCCATCTACCTATAAAAGTTTCATATGAACATTTTACCTTAAGGATCAATGACCAAGTACATGCACCAAGTGAAAACAAAACTCATATATAAACCAAGATAATAGGAAACCAAAAGCTAATCAATATGAAATTGTTTCACTAAAAGAAGAAGGCTTACCAAAGCATTCCACCTGAAGACATAGAGAGTTTGAAGACGTGCCACAAATCTTTGAACGCCAAGATAGAGAATCCTCTCCATGTGTCCTTACACCCACCGCACATGACGAACATGAGCTGCGCAATGTTAGGCAGCCAGAAGGCAACTAGCGTCGAGGTCATAGCACCAGTGATACCAAAATCGAAATGAACCATTAGGAGCCAAGAGAGGAAGACATGGACCGCTAAAGAGACAGCAGCCGCGTAGGCAATGATCTTGTTCTTGCTCTGAGCTTGGAGAAACATCTGGCAAGTGAATGAAACCACGAAAGAAAAGATTATGCCTATGACCCACAGAGCTATGATCCGAGCCACACGGACAATATGTTCCTCTTGACCTAAGGCTAAGAGGATAGGGCCAGCGAAGACGTAGATGGGAGTGAGGCAAATGGTACAGCCTGTGAGGACGATCCATGACCTTTGGAGGTAGATCCCGAGCATATGGTTTTGTTTGGCTCCGAAGGCTTGACCACATAGTGTTTCTAGTGCACTGGCCATACCTAGCTGCATTTTATTACACAAATAATTATAAAGAGTTGCATCAACCAAAGTTGGGACAACAAAGTGTTTGCCAAATTAAAATAACATATTCGAACATTACAACTAATTAATTAAACATAACAACTAATTCAAAAAGTGAGAGTAATAATAGGTGAAGTACTACTAGGAAGTACTCACTAAGATACCAAGACTAAAACGCTGGAGAATAGTGAAGGTGATGGAGTAAGCGGCCAACTCGGTTGGGCCAAGATGGCCGATGAAAGCTTGACTTATCATTGAAACACCGAACGTAGAGAACCTTGTGAAGATCGCTGGCGCCGCCACAACCCATTGCTTCTTTGATTCGATCCAAACCTTCTCCTTCATCCCCAACTCATCCTCCTCATTTCCCCTCTTCTCCGCTGTCTTTTCCAACAAAGTGGCCGTGATCTCTCTTCCTCTTCCAGCCATGGTGGAGTCTCTTTGTTGTACCGGGGATGACAAGTGAGTAGGTGGAAGTGAATATAGTAAAGAGATGGCTGATAATTAAAAAGAGAGCGAGGAGGGAAGAGTTTGTGTCTAATTAATGCTTGAGACCATTATTTGAAGACACATAGGCCTTGACGACGTGTTGATAAAATCAAGAATCAAGTACCACAACCACGAGTTAAACCATCGTTAAAGGTATCTTAAAGGTAAGATTTACATAGGGAAGTATCTTATATCGTCATGTATGTGTAAATCTTAGATACCTTTGTTAATGATGCTCTTAGACCATCCACAAAACTAAAACTAATATTTTTAACATTCAAAACTAATTTATAAATCATAAACACTAAACAATATCCCTAAAAACTATACCCTAAATATAAATAGTCAACCCAAATATTTTTTTTTAAAATACACTTTCTAAAATTAACTTTTTATGTTTATGCTATTTTGGAAAAAAAACAAATTGTGGTATTTTCGGAAAAAAAACTAAAATCATAGCACCTAAGAGAATTTCTCTTATTTTAGTTTTTTTTTTGTGAAATCTCATTTAAAACATCTAGATTATGGTTTAGTCTAACGTTTCAGCGACATAGATATCTAATAACATTGAACAATAAACAACATATAAATTAGACAAGTGAATTTGTTATAATGAACGATTAGTACTAGTCATTTTGAAAATTGGAAAATATATAGATGTTTTATTTTCTACCAGAAAAATCATAAATTATAGTGAATAAAAGAATTGAGGAAAAGTACTATTAAATTTATAAAATTCTTAATGATGAAAAAATATATGCATGTATTGACCTACTGATCACAAGCTAAGGTTTAGCATAAACAACACCAATTCCTATTCCAACCACATTCTTCTTCCACCAGTAATTTATGTTCTAACAACTTTAACATAAATGCTTGTTTAGTTACACGTTTAAAATGTTATTGAATTTGATATATAAATGATAGATAGCTACATGTATAATAATAATTGTATCATTATGAAACACAATAATAGAAATGTACCAAGCTACCTTCATATAGTTTTAGCAGATTCTTAAGTACAGTATCTACTAATGGAATCTACCAAATAATATGATATCCTATATATATATTCTTTAAACTTTAGTCTTATCCCTATGTGTATGTAATATATAAATGATTCCTAAATAGTTTTTGATTTGTATCGAAACCAACTGAAATTGGTATAGATATTAGATATATCAAAGTATACAACGTACTGGTAATGGATAAAATATTCTTACACAATTGTTTTAACATTTGTTAGTAATAATCAACGATGTCGATGTTAGATATATCAAAGTATGCTGTGCAAACATTTATACACACAAGATGAGTTGAGAGGCAGAGCACTTTAATGGGGTTGTTGATAGTCGTCGGTCGAGTTAAAGTTACATTATTATTGTTTTGTCATCGAGCTTAAATTACTTTGATAATCGTATTTATGGAATATATTGATGATGTCTACATATTTAAAATAATTTATTTACTGAATTTTATTATGAATGGATATTTGATATTTTCCTTAAATCCTCTTATGTGAACTTCACTTTCAAATCTGTTCAAATAAAGTAAATTTTTGGATAATTAGTGTATAGTGTACAATGAAGAGGTGAGATCTAAAGCTATTTTACAATCAAATTAATGCGTTCATAATAAAAAACAAATTCAGGAGAGTATAAAAAGAGATAAAAGATAATTACCATCGAAGTATATATATAATTATTTTGAACTCTTAATGAATAATGACACAACCACAAAATTAATATTTCAATAAATTAATAACAAGATAAAATTATAAATTATAAATTTTTATTGACTCCGAATTGAGGTATTTAAAATATTTAAAAACTGAAATCATTATAAACTATTATTTTAAAAAACGTTTCTGTAAATATATAGTCTCAATAATACATAAAAAATAATTATTAAATTTTATTTACATATAATTAAGATTATGTAGTGATATATAATCTTTTCAAAAATTAGTATGTAAACATAGTTCTAATAATATCGTAATTTCATAATATCATAGGGAAACTACACTGCAGGGACACAAATAAAAGAAAAATTAAATATCCAATACTCATAAAATTTTATTTAGCTTATATTTTTACAGACATTTTTCTCCCTATGCCTATGTAGTTCACATTTCTCTCCCATCATTTCTCTCCCATCATTTCTCTAACTCTTCTCTCTCTCTCGTTCTCTCTCCATCTTTCTCTCTCTTTCTACCCATCATCCAATATCTCTCTTTAAAAATAATGTTGTGAAAGTCATCTAAAGAATTAAGTAGACTCGATCAGAGAATGTGTTGTGTTTTTCTAAGTCTAACAAAAGCATATTTCATATTGTCTCAAATAAGAAAAAAAACTAAAACAAAATCCATTAAAAATGTAAGAGACAAATATTTTGTTCTCATTCTCTGTATCTTAAGAAAATATTACAAACTCGGTTCCGTTTAGTCCCACCGCGTTAACCTCTTCCTCCACCACAAGCTTTCCATTCTTCGTCACAAGCTTCGTCTTCAGCGGCGGCTTCGACGGATTTCTCACCACGATCCCTACACTTCCCGCTCTATTCTCGTTACATATCTCTCCTCTTCTCCCTCTCTCCTACTCTTCGATTAAGTTATGTAGTCTCCCGACCGCGGCGGTGGACAGATAAGAAGAGGAGGAAGAAGAAGAAAAAGAAGAAGAAGAGAGGGACATAGACAAAGGTTCGTGGAGGAAGAGGTGTTGTGAGCATATTATCTAATAAAATGTTTTTGACTGGATAAGTATAATATTATCTAATACAAATATTGTTATATCAATACAAATATAACATAATTTTAGTAGCTATTGATTAATGTCTAATTATATTGTTTTCAGTTTGATCGGTTATAATATCAACTATAACATTTATGGTTATTTATTTGGTTAACTATGTAAATCATATATTACTAGTATACGTTATAAGTTATTTGATAAATTCATAGTTATCTAGTTAAATTATTTATAGTTAAATATATGTTACCGCTATAAATTATATGTTATTCGATAAACTCATAATTATCTAGTTAAATTAATTATTATATGACTGATATCAACTAACATATATATTTACGTACTTGTATAAAATATTTATATTACCAGTTTATATAAATACTCAATTTAACGGATAATATGTAACTTACTGCGATAACATATTATTTAACATGTTTTAAAAATTATCGAATGTTTTTAATCACTGATGAACAGTGTTATCGAATTCATGAAAATATGTATCGGTTTGAGTTTATAAAACAGTGGTTATGCTTTAGATTTTATAAATAAACAAAAACGTATTTTTGTTTGTGTTTATAGAATAGTGGTTAGGGTTTATATTTTGTAATTAAACGAAATTATATTTTAATTTGGGTTGACAAAATAGTGGTTAGGGTTTAGTTTTTGTAATTAAATGAAATTATATTTTCGTTTGGGTTGAAAAAATAGTGGTTAAGGTTTAGATTTTGTAATTAAATGAAATTATATTTCAGTTTGGATTGACAAAAATATTGGTTAGGGTTTAGATTTTGTAATTAAACGAAATTATATTTTGGTTTGGGTTGATAAAATAGTGGTTAGGGTTTAGAGTTTATAATTAGTCGAAATTATATTTTGCTTTGGGTTGATAAAATAGTGGTTAGGGTATATATTTTGTAATTAAAAAAATTACATTTTCATTTGAAAATCGTACATAGATAATAGAAAAAATAGTTGATAACTTAACATTTATCGCCAACGGCACAAGTCTAGAGTAGTCAGATTTTTTTTTCAGAAAATATTTCCTTTCCCTAGCCTAGGCATCCTATTTAGCTTTTGTCAGTTTATATTTTTTAGTTAAATCGGTTGAGGGTTACAAAAGTAACTTTGATAAAGTAGAGGAGAGAGATCTAATAAAAAATAAATTTATCACATCTTCATTTTTAGTTTTCAGATTATCTATGCACCCAAATTTAACAAGCCCTATATCATATATGTTAAATATGACACCGGTATCACTTATTTTTACTTAAAACTGTATAATCTAAAATATATCAATAATATAGCTACCATTGAAGTTTGGTGGACAAAGACATTGATGGTGGTCTCGTCCATTTTGCTCTCTCCGTAAATACTAAACTGAAGTTTGAAAAGCCATAGAGATGAGGACATAATTCAAGACTATGCATAAATGATTGAATCATAACCGATAAGTTCGGACTGATTTAGCTACCAAAAAAATGTATTAGTCAAATAAGAGTAAACGTTGAAAAAGAATACACAAACCAAAAGAATAAATAGTCCTTACTTTTCATTCGGTTCACCATATTATCGACAGAGAAACAAAATTCGGATATGTAAGGGCATTCTTAATAGTAACATTTCCAAGAGTATTTTAGGGTAAAATACTTTTTTAAGATGTTACCATTAAAAATGATCTAAAGAGAAAAGAATATTTCTAATGAGGCAACCCGTGCAAAAGGTTATTAAAATTTAACACTGATATATATTGGAAACAAAGTATAACATAAGATTCATATTTAGAACATCCTTAACGTTAACGGAATGTAAATATATAATATGTTGCAAAATTTGTTTACCCTCTAACAAACATATATACATATAGCTCTTAAGGAAATCTTATTCAAATTACTATATATTTTACGTCAAAATTCGTTAACGTGTCTCACATTTACACTTTATAAGTTTGTATACAGAAGTGAGGGAAATAGAGATAATGTATATTAACAAAATTCCATTACAAACAAAGTCAAGTTTGTTTAAGTTCATTCTTCACAGTTATTCATTTTGTAAAGTTTGGTTTTGACTTCTGCGTTCTGGTTCAACCCAACGGTTCAAACGTTTCAACGATGAAGCCACCTTGCATGCAATGATATTAACAATAAGCAAAATATACAACAATAAAGAAATATTTTGTTATAACAAAAAAAATTTAGGATCCTTTTATGAAAAATAATAATATTTAATATATATATTTGTACCTGTTGATCCCAGTTTTTTCTCATAGTCATTATGGTAAGCACACAAGTTTGAACGAAGATTCCAAATATCATGCCTAACCAAACACCCTACAATTTTAGAAAACGAACACTATATCTATAAATTATCTTCCTTATTATCAATTAAGTATATTAATTTACTGTGAATGTAATAAAATAAAATAAAAAACAAAAATAGACACTGATCTTACTTTAACTTGCAAACCAACAACATAGCCAAGAAAAACACCAGAAGGGATTCCAACAAAGTAATAGCAAGCAAGGTTAACGTACGTGACATATTTTTGCCATCCTGCTCCAACAGCAACTCCTATATATATATCCAGTTATAATCAGTACTTCAACATGTAATAAAGGGTTAGGAACAAATATAACAATATGATAGTTACATAGTTCAAGTTTCATATGCATGAGTTAGTGCTCAATGACGATTTAATGTCTCATGGTAGATCAAAAGGGAAGATACATTACCAGAGAGAACAGGTTGAACACTGTTTAGGAGAATGGAGAAGGCCAAGAGTGGAGAAAGATCGGCTACTTGTGTGGCAACAGCTTCACTTGTTGTGAAAATGTATGAAACCTTTCCTCTTAAGAACAAGAAGACAAAGAAGATGATGATTCCTATTGAAAGTGATGTCAAAACCACTACAATTGTCGCAAATTTGGCCCCTTTAGAGTTTCCACTCCCGATCTCATTTGACACTCTTACACTATTACAAAAGTAAGAAGAAGAAAACAAGATGTGTAAATGATGTATGAATTAATCAAATATCTAGGATGATTTCAAAATAAGAAGAATATAATCAAATATATCACGCTATAATTATTTTAAATTGTCCCCTAGCTAGTATTGAATTGTATCTAGCTAGTATTAAGTATATATAAAATGTATGCACCTTGCTGCTGCCATGAAGCCGAAGGCTACCATCATCTCTAGTGCATTTATATTGATGCTGCCAAACAAAAACAAAAAATTGAAACATATAATACGTATCCTTTCATTTGGCATCAGTGTATCTCATATATATGTATTAGAATTCAGTTATAAAGCTAAATGTACAAACACGTATGAATATAACTACAAGGACAAGATACACACATAAATCTAAATAAATATATATAGTTTACCAGATTGCAAGTGCGTTAAGAGCAACCTCAGCATTTCTCAAGTTTCCAGTGAGCAGAATCAAGATCGAGTTGTACCATAGCTCCAAGCTGCCCAAAATTAATATCACGAAGGGTTTGCGATTATGTAGTACCATAACAATATAGTATTATGTTACAAATATGCATAAACAATTAAAAGTTCTCTATAATGTAGGTAAGTACTACTTTGGCAATCTTAGATTACAAACGTATTTGTATTTGTGTGACTACTATATTAACGTTGATGCTGGTCTGAGGAGATATATGTTGAATATTTTTAGGAGTTGATACAATAAAACTTGAGAAGACTAGAAAAATCATACCAAATCATGCCACCGGAAGACACAGATAGTTTGAAAACAGGCCAAAGATCTTTGAAAGCCAACCAAGAGAATCCTCTCCACGTGTCCTTGCACCCACCGCACGTGACAAACAAGAGTTGTGCAATGTTAGGCAACCAATGAGCTACAAGAGACGAGGTCATGGCACCAGAGATCCCAAAATCAAAATGAACCACTAGGAGCCACGACAAGAAGACATGGACCCCTAGTGAGACAGCAGCCACGTAGGCTATAATCTTGTTCTTGCTCTGAGCTTGAAGGAACATTTGGCAAGTGAAGGATGGCACGAAGGAGATGTTGATGCCTATGACCCATAGAGCTATGATCCGAGCCACACGAACAAGGCTTTCCTCTTGACCTAAGGCCAAGAGGATAGGACCAGAAAAGATGTAGATGGGCATGAGGCAAATGGTACAGCCTATGAGGACGATCCATGATCTTTGGAGGTAAATCCCAAGCATGTGATATTGTTTTGCTCCGTAGGCTTGACCACAAAGTGTTTCTAGTGCACTAGCCATTCCTAACTGCATATATAAACTATTAATAATGTGATAACTATTAATTTAAGAATAGTTGGTGGATATAATAAAATAAAAAGTAGGTTTAATAAATGTGTGTATATATATATATATACACACAATATAACATCTCTAAATTAATAAATAATCGATAAATTAATATACTTTCAAACTCAAAACTGATTTTTTGGTTCATTTTTATATCAATAAATTAATAAACTTAAATACTTTCGAAGTATAAAGGTTTTACTATATATTATGCAAATACAAGATGTAAATTTTAAGCTCGGATGTTGCATGTTGGTGATTTGTGACAATAAAGTTTATATTGAACTATAAATTCTAATTAGTAGTATAAAAAAGAAGAAGATTTGTCGCATTTTAGAAAAGTAGAACAACTACCTCTAAAGTCATCTGATAATATCATAAGCAAATTTTCATATAATGAATTAGGAATCTTACGCAGGATATATGCTGCACACCAAAAATAAAAACGAAGACATTGGCAGGTAACCCATTGGACATTAGTGGCCAATGAATCTTGTCACAATACTTCTTGTAAATGTTGTCTTTGCTACACTACAGAGCACACATTTTTATCTTAACATTTTTTTGTCCGAACATTTTTCAGAATCAATATATTTTCCAACTTTTTTTGTTTAAAGGGGATTCTTTGTATTCGCCAACTATTCTTTAAGAAAATTATCCACCCTACTAAAATCTAGTTACAATGAAGTGTTTTTGCTACATTTTGTCGATAAAAACAATTGAACAATCAAAACTAATGGAGTTCAAATTCGTTGAGTGCAAAACAAAAAAGGTAACGACATCAACAATAAAGTAATAAACGAATCACTTAACGACGAGTACGACCAAATACAATGTCTTCCAAAACCGTCAATATACAATCTATAAAGTAAAGAGATATGGCATATTTTAATTTCGTAAGGGCAAATAGTTGTCTGATTGTGAAATTTCATAAGACCAAAACAATCTCCGACAAGAAGTCTATCTACGCATTCACATAACCATTTATATATTGTATCATTCAAACTAATTTAGACATCCTAAGTTCCTAACATAGATATTCTAATATATGTTCGCAGTGAAGTGTTAGTGGAAGGAAGAATATAGTGATATAATAATTGTATTATTCTCGTTAAATTAATGCGTATATATATAGCAAACTTACCAAGATACCATTACTGAAACGGAGGAGAACGGTGAGAGTGATGGAGTAAGCAGCCAGCTCGGTTGAGCCAAGGTGGCCAATGAAAGCTTGAGTTATCAAAGATAGTCCAGACGTAGAGAATCTCGTGAAGATCGCTGGTCCAGCCACAACCCATAGCTTCTTAGATTCCTTCCAAACCTTCTCTATCATCCCCAACTCATCCTCCTCTTCTCCACCTTTCTCTCTGGACTTTTTCAGTAGAGTCTCCGTCACGTCTCCTCCTCCTCTGGCCATGGCTATTGAGAGAGTAAAGAGAGAGAGAGAGAGAGAGATCAGAGAAGAGATGAGAGACTTTTGTTTGGTGGGTTGTTTTTGTTTATTAACGAAGGAAATGAATACACCTTTTTTAAGATTCTTTGTCAAATTGGTTAATACTTTTTCATGCATCGCATACCAAAAAAAAAAAACTAGTTTTTGAACATCATAGGTTTTAGGCCCATTCTTAATGATAGACCAAAAACCTTAATGGGCCGAAATAGCAGATTAAAGCCCATTAGAAAAGGAGCAAATAATTGGAGAGATGGGAGGGAGTTACGGACACGTAACTTTTTACAGAGCAAGGAAGACTTTTTTCTACTTTATAACAACTTTAACTTTTTTTTTCCTTTTTGCAACAATGTCTAAAGAATTGTTGTTCCCAATTCGTAATTAGTATTTTACACAGCTCTTATGTAAAATTTTCCAAAAATATATAATAACCACAAACAATAGTACTATACGTACCAAAGTTAGAATCTAGTTGGTTGTTGAATGAATGAATCATCTCAAACAAGAAACAAACAAAACACTGTTCCAAAGCCGTAAACAGATGAGTATGTCTCAAATGTATTCATTATTTACGACAAAACATAACCAATGTAATAATCTTTGCCTGAGGTTGATCATATGCATTCACGATGTTACTATACACAATTACACATAACACATTACACAACAACATATGCCAGAAATGGGAAAAGTTAAAATACATAAATCATCTATATTGAGCAAACCCTTTAGTTTCTTTTGTTAAACTTTATAGGACCACGTGAAGGAATCTAATGAGTGGACCCTGACGGCACGTAGCCTGACTCACTGAGTCAAAAAAGATTGCAAACGGCGCCTCTAAACTAAAGAAAAGGATTGAGCCATGGCAACTTCCGTAATTATTGACTAAACCGAGGGTAAAATAGGTAAGTTAAAAGACACTGACGTCACACGTGCGAGTCGGAACATGGCACAATTGGCACACCACAGCACAGCAGTCAGCAGCAACCAAGTGGTACTACAGGTCGAGCTCTACTAGTTCAAGCTCAGCTCAAAGCTCTCTTTTTTTTTTTTTTAATGATATACCAAAAGAGGAAAAAAAACAAAAACTTTACCGGAGATGACGACGGAGCAAGCTTTGTTGTCTATGGAAGCTTTACCATTAGGTTTCAGATTTAGACCAACGGATGAAGAACTCATCAATCATTACCTAAGGTTAAAAATCAACGGCCGTGATTCAGAAGTTAGAGTCATCCCTGAGATCGATGTTTGCAAGTGGGAGCCATGGGACTTACCTGGTTAGTTCTCTCTTCTTCTTCTTCCTCTTCTTCTTTATGATAGAGAACACAAAGAACAGAGTTAAAGAGGTTTAGAATTGTAAAAGGTTGAAGCTTTTTGTGAATTTTGAGAGTGATGATGATAAGGTTTTCAAGGGTTTTGTTTTTTTTAGGGCTTTCGGTGATAAAGACAGATGATCAAGAATGGTTCTTTTTTTGTCCTCGTGATCGGAAGTATCCGAGTGGTCATCGTTCTAATAGAGCTACTGACATTGGTTACTGGAAAGCTACTGGGAAAGACAGAACCATTAAGTCTAAGAAAGTAATCATTGGTATGAAGAAGACTCTTGTCTTTTATCGTGGTCGAGCTCCAAGAGGAGAGCGTACTAATTGGATTATGCATGAGTATCGTGCTACTGATAAGGAACTAGATGGCACTGGAGCTGGACAGGTCTGTGTTTTGTCTTTGATGGTGACCATTTTGGTTTGTTGTTATGTTCTGTTTTTGTTTCCTTATATGTTCTGTTTTGGTTTGTGTTTGGAACAGAATCCGTATGTTTTGTGTCGCTTGTTCCACAAGCCTAGTGATAGCTGTGATATTGCAAACTGTGATGGAATAGAGAATGTCAATACAACACCAACCACCACTAGATGCTCTCCTGATGATACATCTTCTGAAATGGTTCAAGAAACAGCTACCTCTCGTGTACATGCTTTAAATAGATCTGATGATACTGAGAGGTGTTTAAGCGACAAGAGTAATGATGTGAAACCTGATGTTTCAGTGATTAACAATAATACTTCTATCAATCACGCTGAATCATCTCGCGCGAAAGACCGTGGTTTGGGGAAAACCATAGTAGAGGTAATACATATTTTTCTGTTAGTTCTACGACTAAGTGTAGCATCATGTGTTCATCAGGTCTCATTAACCAGCTTGTGTTTTACTGTGATATAGGAAAATCCACCTGCAAGGGACAATTTAACTCATTATGGATCCAGTTTTACTCAAATGAATGACAGAACATATCATCCATCGCACTCGAGCATCGACTTTGCTGCATCACATATAGATTCGATGTATTCTAGCGATTTTGGAAACTTTGATTATGGGCTACATTTTCAAGATGGTGCTGCTGAGCAAGATGCATCCTTAACAGATGTATTGGATGAAGTATTTCACATTAATAATGATTCCTCTACTGAAAGGAAAGACTTTGCACTTCCGAATATGATGCATTGGCCTGGAAATACAAGACTGTTGTCTACTGAGTACCCGTTTCGCAAAGACGCTGTTTCTTTTGTTGACGGGAGTGCTGAAGTTTCCGGCTCACAGGTAACCAAAATGTTCATGAGCTCTTAAGCATCTCACATTATAATCAGGATGATTAATATATCTTACATGTGTTTTAAAATGAAAAGTAGCTTTTGTGACAAATCTGATGTTGATCCATTGATCTTAAGACTGACCATAGTGTTTCTTTATGTACAGCAGTTTGTACCTGAAAATATAGCTCCTAGATGGGTCAGCCAACACCGTGTTGATAGCAAGGAAGTTACCGAGATCCAATCTTCATCTGGCTCCTCTCGGACTGTGACACCACTTCATAGCAACGTTTCAGGACAGTATGCTTCAGCTTCTTATGCATCTATTGATCCCTTCAACTATAATGTCAATAATCCTGAGCAGTCATCCTTTGAGCAAAGCCAAACTGACCGCAAGATTAGTCCCAGTGATATTTCCGAGTTCAAGGCTAGGTCTCGGGAGAGTCAGACGAATCAAGACTTTGTTGTGGACCAAGGCACTGCTCCTAGAAGAATCCGGCTGCAAATCGAACTGCCATTGACTCCAGTTAACCACAAGAAAGAGAGAGATGCAGACAACTATGAAGAAGATGAAGTACAGTCTGCAATGTCCAAGGTAGGATTCATTCGTCCGGCTAGTATTTAAATCCACTTTGAATGACCTTTCTAAATGACCATTGATGAATATGCAGGTCGTGGAGGTAAATGAAAGATCCTTCCTTAACAGAGATGATACTCTGTCTGAATCAGCTAAGTTAAAGACTCAGGGAACTGCTCAGAGGAGAATCCGCCTGCAGACGAGACTACGGAAGCCTCCCGTAACACTAAACAACCCAAGAAAACACTTAAACTGCAGTAACGAAGAAGCAAGCCATAGAGAGGTAAGATGTTTCTTTCCAAGTTACATCAAACACCATAACAAGCTTGATTAACATACAATGAAAAATATTAACAAGCATGATTGAAACAATGTGAAGATGCAGGAAAAGGAAGATGTATCAACATCATCATCATCATGGCAGAAAGAGAAGAAGATAGTGAAGAAGAGCTTGGTGCAGTATAGTAGTATGGTGATAATAATGGTAGTGATAGTTGTTTTAGTAGGAGTATGGAAAGAGTCAAGAGATGCTAAATGTAGCTTCTTGTTTCATCATTTGGATTCCTTAAAAGGCATGTTTACTTGATGATATATGTATAATTAAATCGTGTTTAGTATATTTAATTTTGATTTTGTAGTGTTGAGTGATGATGAAAGCCAAATTTTCTCTAGAATCATTAACAGAGTACACAGTATAGTTCTTTTTTCTATTTTTGCAAGTTCACAACTACTACATGCATATATACATAACATCTCGAGCTTTTAAACAACCATTAGTATTACATTTGACATTACTCTATTCCTAAGTGTATTGAATCGCTTATTCATACTTTCATAGTATAATTGAATGCATATATGTTTAGTAATTACATACTCAAAGTTTATACAAATATAGTTATTTTGTGAGTGTTCTAAAAGCGGTTTAGACAGTTGTCTAAATAACCGTTTTGACCGTTTAAAATCACATAAATCTTGTTTTAATGTATTTTTTATTTATTTTGTAGCGACGTAAATTTAAAGTTATAAATTTGATATATCTATATATATGGTTATAAACATTCAAGTTTGATATAAATTAAATAAAAACTTTTTTAAATTTTCGTTTATGATTAAATATTTTTGAGTACCTAATAATTATTTTTATATAGCTTTATTATATATTTTTTTTTTTGCTAAGAATAGCTTTATTATATTTATAATGTTTTATATCGTACGGTTTAAAATCTTGAATAAATATTTTATACTTTGTTGAACATTAATTTCTTATATAAAATTAGGATAAGTCCACGTAGTATTCCAATCCGTAATCCTATATATATTAAACATCTAAATGTTAAATGCTGTTTTTAAGCGTATCATCAATTTTGGTTTTTAAAAAAATGCTGTCCATGCATATGACTATTTAGACCTAGTCTTCAGACACGTAACCAAATCGACTGAGGTAGTAACACCTACTACCATAGTATATAAAATCTTAAAACAATATACCAAACTTTGCTTAATTAGATTATCCCATTCACCCACCATACTCTTGTCAACGATACTATGTACTTTATTAAATTATTTATACAAGTACTTTTATAGTTCCAAGAACTTCATCAATGAGTTTGCAGCTTCACGCATAAACCGTTCCACAGTTTCTGACACCTTCCTGATTATGAACTCAAAGCAAGAAAAACGTAGTGGAAACGAACGAAACGAACCCATACAAAAGTGTAACGCTCAACACCAATTTATATAATTAACAAACCCCAAAACAACCATCTTAATTAATATGATAAATTCTTAATTAAGTTTACAACTATGTCGTCGTTCTATTCAAGGTGATAGCCCTGGGCACGAAGCGAATATTCGGAAAATTTGTGATATTTGTTATTTGTTTCGCCTTGACCGAATAGTTGATTTTACTATTTGCTTCGATTCGTAAATTTTCAAGTATTCGGAAATTCGAATATTTGAATATTTTTCGTAATATTTGCGAATTACTTGCTTCGCTTCGATTCGACCCATCTAATTTTTTTTTAAAACTAAAAACATATAAAATATAAATATAAAGTGCAAAATATAAAATATTAGAGGTTTTTATTTGATATGTTTTCAAAATAAGAAGGAAATGTAACTACCGTCGAAAGAATTCTTACATTTTATTTTTAATAATGATTTTTCTAGTAAAGTTTTATTTGCTTAAAAACAACATTTAACAAAAAAAAACCCAACGAGTCAAAATATAATAATTTGAATAATAGGTCTATCAGATATATACACAAATCTATAAATACACATATTATATATAATATATATATTATATAATAATTTATATTTATACATATATATAAATAGACGAAGCGAAGCGAATATTCGGCACTAAAAAAATCAATATTTGTTATTTGCTTCGGTTTTTACGAATACTAGATTTTCATATTTGTTTCGGTTCAATATCTTATAGATATTTGAATTTTTCGAATCGAATCGAAACGAATATCGAAGCGAAGTGAATGTAACGAATATTTTGCTCATGGCTACAAGGTGATGAAGGTTTTGTGATTTAACGACATAAGGGAAATAAGAAGATAAAGATGGAAACGTATGGATAAACATGAGAGTAGGGTCTCGTGCGTGATAAAGAAGTGGTGAGGTCCAATGTCCGAACAATACAATGTGCGTTCTCCTAATGTTTTCTCTACACTTGTGTCTTTTCTATTCGTTTATTTATTCACTAAACTACACCCATTTTTAGTGCGACTTTTTTATAATAATTTGGAATCGAATTTAGTTGTACTATTACTAAATAATTTCAATATATATTTTTAAAAAAAAATTATTGGTTCGTATAATACTCTTTTATATAAACTATTCGGTTTATTTTCATAAACACCGTATTTTATAAATTTAGTTGTTTTTATTTAGTTTTTTTTTGGGCTAGTTTGTGTGATATAATATAGTTCAGAAATTTTCAATAGTGTCTTATAAATTCATATACTAATAAAAATTATATACTTTCCTTATTCCTATTTAATTATATGGCTATTATTATCAAGTGAACGTTAATTAATTAAAATAATGTTTTTTTCTTTTATAGTAAAACAAAAGTATTAAATGTGATAGTCAAATCTAACGCATTTAAATTTTAAAATGATAAATTAAGAAAGATAGCAAAACCAAGACCAGAAAGAGAGAGAGTAGAAGACACCCCTAGATTCTAAAACTTCCTCCTCTAGCATCTCACTATATATAACTTAATACAAATCTGTAAGAGAAACACACACACACAGAAGAAATAAGAAACCAAGAAACCAAGAAACCAAGAAATCAAGAAATCAAGAAATCAAGAATGTTGCTAGTGACTGTTTTGGCTGAGATGATGAAAGAGTACACGGTGGTGCTCGCCGGAGTTTTGGAGCATATCTTCTCTCAAGCACCTTTTCCGAGGAGAATCCGACTTCAGATTCTTTACTCTCTTCCTTTTCATAACTCTAATTCCTCTCCTCTTCTCCTTCCTTCTCGTTCTTCTTCTACCTAATGTTCTTTTTTCTTCTCTTTGACTTGAGAGCTTTTGTGTAAATAAAGATCTTTTAATCTATTATCAATATGCATCTCTTATGTTTAACTTTGTTTATATGACTTTTTAAAATTTGTTGAAGTATTCTGAAACGTTTCAAGGGTTTGGTGGTGAACGTTATCATTATAGTAGACTTTGATCTTGGTCAAAGAATTGAGAAGAAGAAGGCTATGTTCTTAGTAAAATATTAGACGAGAGACACCACTTGATTTAGAAGGTTCTCAAAATATTAGTTGTTGTCTTTGTTGTAATGAAAGAGATGTAAACCAACAAGACAAAAAGCTGAGTACTCCATATTATTGTCTCTTTCCCGAACGAGTCTATCTAAGTGAGGGTAGATGATGTCAATGTTGATTGTTGAGTTCTTGTTTTAAACCAAGGAAGCCCACAAATTCAACTTTGCCTTTAGAAAATTGTATTAGCCCATTGTTTGGTTTTGAGAATTATTTACTTTCCTTTAGTGTAGTGGACTTAGTTTGATAGTCTTTTTTACTTTTTGAAACTTAATTGGTAAGTTAAACTAAAACGTTTTGAATGCGAGATTATCTCCGAGAATAGTCTTCATAAGCTTTATTATTCATCTTTTTCGAAATAAGGGTCTCATATCTTGAGGTTATTCATATCTATTTGATTAGTTTCATCCAAGGTAGTTTGGTACATAGGAAGAGACATGGATGGCTCTTCTAAAGCTTACATCAACACATTGGTTAACTTGTCAATCTCCAAGCATATTGTATTTTTCAACCCTAATCAGTTTTTAATGCCTCTCAAATCTTAATGTTTCTTTGTCTTAATACTCAAAGTGTCTAAACCTATGATATTGATGTAACCGCATCTTTTACAAAAGATATGATATGTACTGTACTCATTCATTTTTTTTATTAATAGTAAGTACATAGTTTCTTTTTCGATATCTACGGTCAGTTTCAGCATTTAAAATGTCTAAACCTGTTATTATATTGTTGTAACCACGAATTAAACAACATACATAAAATTAGGATATGTCTTGGTCGATACCATTTGAACTATAATTGTTTCTCTTCTCTCACTGCCTACTTTTTATATTTCACATTTCAAAATCTCCTTTCCAGAAAAACATTAAGGTTACATTTCACCAATTTAATAAAAATAAACTAACTTAAAAATTTTAGTCTCTATAGCTAGCTCTCTGATTTATAAATTCACATTAGTGTCCTCATTGATTTAGAAATCAATCATACTGATTTCAAATTAACACGATTTATACACAAATATTGAATCATTTTTTTTTAAATTCATAACAATAAATTACTAAACAATTAACACAAAATTTTTACTAATATTTTTAAAAAGGTATCGATAACATGTGTAATTTCGATAATAATTTTAAAATCAAAATATATTCTTGTCAAAATTTCGAAAAAGAGAAGAAAAGTATAAAGATAAGAAAAATAAGATAAAAATAAAAGGTTAAATATGCAAAATCCTCTAAACTTTTCATCCTAATCTGAAATTTTGACAAGTAAACAGAGAACGACATCTTTAATTTTTAATCCGACTTGACCTGAAGAAAAACCAAAAAAAAAAACAAAAAAGCTTCGTCCTTTTGCAAAGCCAAGGGGAGGGGGAAGGTGAAGAAACCTGCAAAATCCCTTCCCTTCTTCTTCTTCTTCTTCAAAAAGTTTCACCATTTCTTCCTTAATCCGCCATAACCACACATAGAAGGAGAAGATGAAGCAGTGTACTCACGGAATCGATGGTTTACGAAGCGGTCTTTCACCTTCTGCTAAACCATTCGCAATCGGGTCTTCTTCTTCTCTCAAATCTGAACACGAAGATTACATCTGGAGTGATTACACTTTAGACCTTTCTTTCTTGTCCTCTGATGATCAGAGAAGTGGTCTCGATGATGATGATTCTCTTTCTAACTTGTCTCGCGATGTGGAGACTAACAAAGGTATATATATATGTAGAACACAAAATCTTGGACTGTCTTGATGTTTAGGGTCGTGTTTGGATATATGGATTAGTGGGTATAGAGATTTTGGTGTAAAGGTTTAATCTTGTGGAGGCTATAACTGTTTTTGCAGAAGGATTGTTTTTGGTGGACAAGATAGCTTGCTCTGGAAAGGTTTTGGTGAACTCTAATCCAGTTTTCTCGAAATTGCCTGAGGTATTGATTGAGGAGTCCTCTAATGTTGTTGGTGATGCGGAGTTGGGTTTGTCCTGTATCAGCACAACTGTTATGTCTGAGAAATCTTCTATAGGTTCTGATGAAGATGACTCTGAGGAAGATTCTCCTTGCTGGAAAGGAATGCATTCTCACAAGACTTCAAGACGTTCTATTGATGATCTTAGTGGGTTTCGTAGATTGAATCCCTTGGCACCTCAGTTTATACCATCTAATTCTAAGAAGAAACTCGAAACTGATGAGAAGGGTTCTTCTTCATCGTCTTTGAAGAAGTCTCTATCTTCAACTTTTCCATCATCTTCTGGCGAGTTCAACTTAACTGATCCTACTGAAGATGGAAGGAATGATGCGGCAGGGACAAGCGTCTTAACACGTAATACAGATGACATTTTTGGTTTTGTATCTAGTGATAGTACATCCAAGACCGTGAGCATTTCGGATTCTAGAAATGAATTCCTACCTTCAAAAAGGTTGGATCCTTTGGCCCCTGTCTTTGTTCCCTCTAGTGCAAAACCAAGTCCTTCTGTCCATGAGAAGCAAGGAGCCTTTAACACAAATGGAACTTCAGATGATAAGTCACTAAATAAGGTCAAGGTGGTGACATCTTCTGGAGAAGTTGGCCACAGTTTAAAGAGTCTATATGGTGGTCATGATTTGAATTCGACATCTTCATACAATCCGTGGATTGAATCTAATGTTGGGAATACTGAGTATACAAAACCAGGAAGCTCCAGCAACAGATCTCATGGTCAGCGGAGATTGAATCCATTGGCCCGTCAGTTCTCTCTTGCAGATACTAAACCGAAAGCATATAACTATGAGAAGAACCAAGCTGCAGATGATTTATCGCTAGTGGGGAATACTGCCGGTTTATACGTTCCAAGTGCTTATAGGGACCATAGTATAGTAGATGCAGACTTAGCACAATCCCCAGTATATGTGGAACGTGTTCTTCCCAACATGTCACGTGGAAGTTCTTCACTTATATCTCCAAAGCCAGACAGTAACTTTCGGTCTAATAAGTGGTTTGCGGTGGAGCCTAATCCTACGTTTTCAGTAAAGGGTAATAAAGGTTTTAAGCATCCTCTTCCATTTCATGTTGTAGAAACTGCAGCGAGTTCATCATTAAGCGATATGAATGCTTTACCGGGCCCATCTCCAAAAATGGATGTGAAGAAACTACTTACAACGATGCATGGACTGTCAGAGTTACTAACACTTGCACATGGTTCAGATTCACCGAATGCGGAAGAGCTTGATCTCATTAACAGTACTGTACAGAATCTCAACTTGTACATGGAAAACAACATTCAGGACCATGCTGGGAATCAAAGCATTGCACGACGCAATTCATATGATATAAAGCTGTTACCTAACAAGAGTAAGGTATGTTGTTCTAACTGTTTTTATGTATATATCTTAATTAGCTTAAGCCACATGAGATTTCATTGAACTTTGGAAGCCTTATACTTCCTCCTAGAACATTTTTTATTGGAGGTCAATAAGAAATAGCATCATGTCTTGTAGAATTTACAAAAATGATAGTGTTAATGGGTCACCTTTTTTCTGTTAATGGGTCGATTCCAAATTCTCTCTATTAGCTATCGATTAGAGACCTTCAGCTTCCCACGGCAAACAATATGACTGTAGACCTTGATGTGAAAAGGAAGGATAAATACTCTGTGGTTTCAAGGGAGACTGTCCCAGATTCTCGTTTGTATCAATATGGTGCGATCAAAGATAACGGCTTTGGTCAGGTATGGTTCTTTTTTCTCCATAAGTAAGCTGTTATATTTGAAGTTTAGTGGGAGGTAGACCGTCTGTTTGATGATTTGTGCAGGTTGTGGCTACAAGTGGTTACCAACAGAATCATCAAGGCGAGGAGCAGATTAACCAACATGCACTATTCTATAAAAGCTTATGGCTGAAGGCTGAAGCAGACAGGTGTTTGATGGTGTACGAGACTTCTCTTACCAATCCAACTCTTTGAGGATATTAGAATTAGAAAGGTGACATCAAATCATCCATAATTCAGAATATACTTTGAAGGGCAATTACATGTCAGATTGGTAAGGCGCTTGCGCAAGGTTTGCTTTCGATTTTGCAGGTTGGCCTGTAAAATATCAAAAAAACAGCCTCAAGATCTCCAATTTCTGGATGGAGACTATGAGGCATTAAAATCTTTTTCCTCTGAAGTGGCTGACACATAGTTGTGCAGAAGATGAAGTTGGTGGTACTCCTTTACCTTTTATTTTACTTTCTCATTGCTACTTCACTTTCAGAATCATTACTGAATAAAATTGTCTTTTCTTTCTTATCAGAACTTGGATACTGTTTGGACGTGGAACCTTTTTATTTGGTGATGATCGTAATGCTTTCTTGTTTATGGTCCTGATCTTTTGATTATCAGATGTATAAACAAACCTATGTAACTTTTTTCTTAAATACCACGTTATCACTCTTTTTGCTATATAGTAATCTTCTTGCCCTTTCTAACTTGCCTAGAATGACACTATACTAGACATACTTTAATCAAAGTCTAGAGAAAATGACCATTAATTAAGAGATAATAACCTGAAAAGAAATCAATAATGTTCCAAGAAAATGGTGGCGAAGAGAAGTAACAGAGGAACAAAAAGGATAAGAACAATGTAATGGTGGTGGCTCTGCAAGTTAAACCCTTTGTGTTAAGTTCCATGATGGCTGAAACTATATCTCCATTAGAAGCAAACAAAGAGTAGGCCAAAATCTAAACCCAATATTTGTTAAGTTCAAACATTGGGCCTCAAGTCTCAAATACTTTGATCGGTTCTTTAAAGTTTACTTGGCGAGTCAAGGTACGTCTTCTTTTTCTCTGTTTGTGATTATTTTTATGAGACTATGCATTCTTACGTCTGAATTTGTAAGCTCAACGGTCAAAAACAATTTTGACTAGAACTCTCAAAAGCTTTACTTTCTTTCAGATTCAAGAAGCAAATAGAATCAGAAAATGGAAGAACAAAACCTATCTTTGTATGCAATGATCTTATCGAGCTCCTCTGTTCTTCCCATGGTTCTGAAGACAGCTATAGATCTTGGTCTCTTCGACATATTAGCTGAGTGTGGCCCTTCCTCTGCTTCTAAGATCATGTCTTTCTTGTCTAATCAGACACAAACACTTCATGATTCAAGCTTGGTCAATAAGATTCTTCGATTTCTTGCGAGCTACTCTATAGTCACAAGTTCTGTTTCCACTGATCACGGTGAGCCATGTGTGGTCTATGGCTTAGCTCCTGTTGCCAAATACTTCACCAAGAACCAAGATGGAGGCGGCTCGTTGGCTCCGTTGATGAATCTGTTCCAGGACAAGGTCGTGATTGATATGTGGTAACATCATTAACAATATCCTAAATATTTCTCTGAAAACATTATGATCTCTGACTTGTTATGTAATCTGATGTTGTATTTAACCATTGAAAAGGTACAACCTTAAAGATTCTGTTCTTGAAGGAGGGATTCCATTCGACAAAACTCATGGTTCGAGCGCGGTTGAATTGGTAGGAAGAGATTCAAGATTCAGAGAAGTGTTTCAAAACTCCATGAAAGGTTTCAATGAAGTATTCATGGAAGAGTTTCTCAAGAATTACAATGGTTTCAATGGTGTGAAGTCTTTGGTTGATGTTGGTGGTGGAGATGGCTCTATTCTCAGTAGAATCATCTCCAAGCATCCTCACATCATCAAAGCTATTAACTTTGATTTACCCTTTGTAATCAACACTACATCAGCTTCTCCAGGTATATATTACTAGTTCTTGCCAAAGATTCTATTTTATTGTAAATGATCTCAATGTCATAAATTTTAGGAATTGAGCATATTGCTGGAGACATGTTTACATGCATTCCTAAAGGAGAAGCCATTTTCATGAAGGTAAGATTTTATAGTCTTATTAGAATCATATACTTAAAAACAGATAACATTTACATTTTTAGTTAAAACTTACAACAGTGGATGCTACATGGCTGGGACGATGAGCATTGCGTGAAGATACTTACCAACTGTTATCAATCCTTACCATCAAATGGGAAGGTGATTGTGGTGGATATGGTAATCCCGGATTTACCTGGAGACAGTCTCTTAGACAGAAGCTTGTTTCAGTTTGAGTTGTTCATGATGAACATGAACCCATCAGGGAAAGAAAGAACAAAGAAAGAATTCGAGGTCCTAGCTCGTCTCGCTGGATTTTCTAATGTCCAAGTCCCATTTACATCTCTCTGTTTCTCAGTTGTAGAGTTCCACAAGAACGAGTGATATTCAAAAATACACATTTTACAGACTCAAAACTAAGTTTTCTACTGTTCCCTATCTACTTGAATACATGATTACTTTAATAGTTCTCTCTCTACAGAAATTTGCAAAATCAAGAGATTGTGAAAACAAAATTTGCAAGTGGAGCAGGCAGAGTAAGGATATGGGACGCATATGTGAGGATGACAAAGCTGTTGGCTTTACACCACAAATAACTTCAGCTGCTAAAGAGATACAGACCAATGATCATGGCGGCTCAAGTTTCTTCGTGGACATTGAACGATCTTGTATGTCCTCACAAACAGTTTTGGGGGATTTAAAATCCACAGGACATTAGAGATCGATCAACCTCTACAAAGAAACCCTCATCCGTCGTAATCTCTTGTCTAATCTTCACGACAGTTGAAGTTGTTGGTGGCATTAAAGCCATCAGTCTCACAATTTTAACATATGAAGCTCATAAAGATTGAATATAGAAGAAACTTTGGTTTGCCTAAAGACTTGAGGGAAACAAACTGCAAGGCCATTGCCATTAAATACTCTCTTCAAGTTGACTTGTTTCCTATACAATCACAATGGTTACATGCCTTACCAATTCTTGAGACTAATCATTCATGCGTTTCAAATGTTGCACCTGGTAGTTTCATTTTTGATAACAAATGCACATACACATACACATGTTGCACCAAGACACTGATTTATGCAAAATAATCATTATATTGAACTCTCTTAAGCATCATGTTGGAAATTACATTTTGAAACGAATAAGGCATTATCGAATAGAAACTAACCATACAGGCTTTTACAACAAAACTGCTTTCTTTTTGGGTTCAAGAATCGGAGGGTCAATGTCTATCCCCATGTTAGCCGCAGTTCCTGCAATGATTCTCATAGCGGATTCAATGGTCGTGCAGTTCAAGTCGGGCAGCTTCTCTGCTGCAATTGTGCGCAGCTGATCGACTGTTATCATCCCAACTTTGTCTTGCTTTGGATCTTTTGATCCCTTCTCAACACCTATTTCCCACAACTCAACAAATGTCAATAATTATATCTCTGAGTAGAAGCTCAAGTCAATGATCTGATGAATCTCGAAACAAAATTGAAATAGTGTAACTAGCCTACCTCAAGTTTAATTGATTCTATATTGAGATTACAACATCACAAGCATGAATGACTTAGTTTTTGTACCCTCCTATAAATTAAAATCTCTAGAGTTGATAAGGAACACAAGTAATGTGATCTAAAATTTCAAGCTATTAAGCTTAGCAAAACACAAGATAATATTCAACCATGCCATTATCAAAATGTGAGCACAAGTAATGTGATCTTTTCTACTGAGGCAAACCTATTATCAAATATTCAAAATGCACAATCATCGGTCACAACACTCATTCTCATACCTGCAGCTTTAAGCAACAAAACTGACGCAGGCGGCGTCTTGAGGATAAAAGTGAAGCTCTTATCCTGAAACCATACATAATAACTCAATGAAACGATCTCACAGAGCTATAAATCAGAGTCACATCACCATTCTAAAGTCACTCAATCACAAGTTATAAATGGATACGAACTACACATACAACACACTTGAAAACCCAGTTTTGATGATAAATTACCACAATGTTACTATTCTCTAGCTTAATCAAACCTTAAACCAAGATTGTAGTAAAACTCACATCGAAGACAGTGATTTCAACAGGAATGATATAACCAGCTTTATCAGCGGTTCTTGCATTGTAATCCTTGCAAAAAGCCATAATGTTAACTCCCTTCGAACCAAGCGCCGGACCAACCGGTGGTGCCGGAGTTGCCTTCCCCGCCTCTAAAGCCAGTTTGATAACCCCCACAACTACAAAATTCACAACACAACAACTTAATTGAGCTCGGAAAGTGAGAAAATTCTAGGTTTTAAGGAAATGGGTAGTGAAAAGATTGAACCTTTTTTAGCTTTGCCTCCAGGTTTAGGTGGAGCCATGGCGATAACAGTGAGAAACCTCGGGGATGAAGAGAGAAGTGGAGACCGTTTCTTTCCCAGAAACTGAACCGAAACATTTGCTTTAGAGGATAATTTAGCTGAAAGAGAATGTGAGAGCTTGGAGCTTGGATGTAGAGAAGACGAAGCTGAGCTGCAAAGGGTTGATAGAGAAGAAGACGCCATTGATTCACTGTGAAAGGAAGCAGAGTGAAATGCTGAAGGCGAGAGTCGTCTCCGGGAAAAATCCTATCCACTTTTGAGTTCTCACTTTATGGGCTTAATGGGCTTTAACAAATAGGGCCTAAGATCCAGTACTTCGACTGATACTGAAAAAATCACATTTTAGAAACTTAAACCAAATCTTAAGTTTATAACCATAATCATGTACATTGTATAAATGTACAGTGTTCAAGTTGAGCACTAGTGTGCTATTGTTCGTATATATAAATTTTGGGACCTCCCAAATAATAATAAAAGACAGCAATCACCTAAATATATTTAGTACTAAATTAGCTGATTAAGATTTGTGAGAGAAACAGTTTTCGAAAAACATTCTCATAAAATAAAAAGTGAAAATTCCACTATCAGAATATATATTGTTTTCTTGTCATCATCGCATGTGTTTTCCAACCAACCTATTAAAAATAATACAGACAAGACAATTTCATTGTATATCATCTTTTCAATTAGTGAGAGACAGAGATTATATGAAGTAACTCAAAACTACAAATAATTTTCTTGATCCTTAGTGTGGATAATCAAGAACCTAATTGAGTCGATCCCATTTGGTTTGGGTAAAAATGTTATTCCATTAGTAATAATACAAAAAGAACAAGTATCACATTCATATAACCATCATCCATAAGTATATGTTTGACCAACCATAAAAATTATTTATTTTTTCAGTGACCATTGCATTTTCAAAATTGAACGTAACTAATCATATTCTATAGAATAAGATAAATGTGAAGGCGGCTTTGTTTCTCCGTGTAATGCGCCGTGTGATCACACTTAGATAATAATCTCTAACAATCAAAAGAAGATGAATTAAGAATTTAAGACTTTTTTTGAAGATGGAACTATAAGACTTTTTTTTTTAAACAAAAGAAGAGGTCAACTGAATGGTTCTTTGACTCATTGAAATAGGAGATATAGGGACTTTCTTATGTGGTTTCCTATCATGTAATTGAGAGAAAGGGTCCATGAGGCTGCATTTTCATATGAAATTAACAATCATTTCTAATGAAAAAGATTTAAAAAAATGCTCAAGTTGTTATAGCAACCCATAATGTTTTCGAATTATTCAAAGTTCAAACAATGTGAGCCTAAAAGAACTCATCTTCATGTATATATATATAAACCCTTCTTCTTCCATATGAGTCTCTTCAAGTAAACTACATTACATTTTCATCTCTCTAATGGAACCAAAAATGACCAAAACGCTCGTTCTTGTTGCTATCTGTCTAATGCTTGCTCTCAACATTGCTGCTGAAACTAAGGTACTTAATCTGACAAATCTCTCTACTCAGTTCTTTTACGAGTTTTAGTTTTTCCAAGAAGCTAAGATTAGTAAGCTTTGTTTGATGATTTAATAGGTTCACATAGTGTATCTCGGTGAAAGGCAACATGACAATCCTGATTCAGTCACTGAGTCTCATCATCAGATGCTTTGGTCAATCCTCGGAAGGTAATAACTTATGCTAACCTCAACTTTGACCAACCATATCCCAAAACTGGTTATACTCATTTTTTGTTAATGTCATCACATATCACAGCAAAGAAGCTGCACATGATTCAATGGTGTATAGTTATCGCCATGGTTTTTCCGCTTTCGCAGCCAAACTAACCGATTCTCAAGTGATTCAACTCTCAGGTACTTAAAAAGACATAAAGATTAAAACTTTTGATTAACCCATTTGGGTCACTTCTTGTTTATATGACTAAAAATGCAACTCTTATTTTGTGATATAACCAGAGTTACCTGAAGTTGTTCATGTCATACGTGATAGATTCTACGAACTGCAAACAACTAGGACTTGGGATTACTTGAAACATACTTCAAGACATCCAAAGAATCTTCTAAACCAAACTAACATGGGAGACAAAGTCATCATCGGCGTCGTTGACTCCGGTATGAACTCAATTCTTTCCTCTTAAACCGGATTCTTGGAAAAAATTTCAAAATTTTTAAACCGGTTTGGTTTAATATCTATCTCAGGGATATGGCCAGAGTCTGAGTCATTCAGTGACAATGGTCTTGGACCAATACCAAAACGTTGGAAAGGAAGTTGTGAGACAAAACAGAGTTTCAACGGCTCAACCGTTTGTAACAGAAAACTAATTGGCGCCAAATACTTCATCAGTGGCTTAATCAATGGCGCCGACGAAAGCAACTGGAACACTACTGAGAATCCAGAATACATATCTCCTAGAGACTTCAATGGTCACGGGACTCATGTGGCTGCAACAGCTGCTGGCTCGTTTGTCCCGGACGCGAGCTACTTAGCTCTCGGGAGAGGAATCGCTAGAGGTGGTGCTCCACGAGCGCGCATAGCAATGTACAAGGCTTGTTGGCATTTAGCCTCTATAGGAACAGCGACTTGTTCAGCTGCAGATATGTTGAAAGCGATAGACGAAGCGATTCACGATGGTGTAGACGTTTTGTCTATCTCTACATCGTTCCCAATTCCTCTGTTTCCGGAAGTGGATGCTCGGGACGCTATGGCGGTTGGAGCGTTTCATGCGGTTGCCAAGGGGATTCCCGTTGTCTGTTCCGGTGGTAATGCTGGTCCTGCTTCTCAGACAGTTACCAATACGGCTCCTTGGATCATTACCGTTGCTGCAACCACTCAAGACCGGTCTTTTCCCACATTAATCACACTTGGCAACAACATTACTATCGTGGTAAGTTCAAAAAAACAGAGGAAAAACAAAACAAAAAACACTTCTTGCAAAATCTCTGTTTTTAACATTTCAACTTACTTAAACTTTAGGGTCAAGCATTGTATCAAGGTCCAGACATGGATTTCATCGGTCTTGTTTACCCCGAAGGTCCTGGAGCAAGCAACGAGACGTTCTCCGGGTAATTTTCAACTCTCTAATCTTCTTTCTTGTCTGTCATCTCAACCATACTAACACCAAATCTTTTAAAAACTTGCAGAGTCTGTGAAGATCTTGCCAAGAACCCAGCTCGTATAATAAAAGAAAAGATTGTCTTGTGTTTCACGAAATCTACGGATTATGGTACCGTGATCCAGGCTGCATCAGATGTATTCAACCTTGATGGCTACGGCGTTATAGTTGCGAGGAATCCAGGCTATCAGCTTAATCCATGTGATGGTTTCCCCTGTCTCGCTGTAGATTACGAACTAGGAACTGATATACTCTTCTACATACGTTCCACTAGGTATATATAACAGACCCTATACATATTTTCATATACTTGTAACCAATACCTAGATATTGATTTTGTATATCATATGGTTTGTTCTTTTAGATCACCAGTCGCCAAGATTCAACCTACAAGAACATTGGTTGGACTCCCCGTTGCTACAAAGGTCGCGACTTTCTCATCGAGAGGACCTAGTTCGATCTCTCCCGCAATTCTCAAGGTATATTTTAAGCTTAGCTACTAAATTCTCTGTTTTTTTATAAGTCTCAAACTTTAAACCCTAAACTCTACTAGAATATTTGAGCATAGATTTTAGGTTTTATATATTTACTTGTGACTGAAGTTTCATCAAGTTTCTATTGATTAAACTGAGACTGATTTGTTTTCTTTGATATAGCCTGATATAGCAGCACCTGGAGTGAACATACTCGCAGCTACTTCTCCGAACGATACATTCTACGACAGAGGATTTTCTATGAAATCAGGAACATCAATGTCGACTCCTGTTGTTGCAGGAATTGTTGCACTCCTTAAGTCTTTGCACCCTCATTGGTCTCCTGCAGCCATTAGATCAGCTATTGTTACTACAGCTTGGAGAACAGATCCATCAGGTGAACCCATTTTCGCAGACGGGTCAAACCGCAAATTAGCTGATCCATTTGACTACGGAGGAGGCGTTGTGAACTCAGAGAAAGCCGCAAAACCCGGTCTTGTTTACGATATGGGAGTTAAAGATTATGTTCTCTACTTGTGCTCCGTTGGTTACTCGGATTCATCCATTACTAGACTCGTCAGCAAGAAGACTGTTTGTGGAAACCCTAAACCTTCTGTTCTTGATCTGAACTTGCCTTCAATCACTATCCCAAACCTTGCAAAAGAAGTTACCATCACTAGAACCGTTACCAATGTTGGAACAGTAGGATCGGTTTATAAGGCTGTGATTGAGGCTCCAATGGGTGTTAACGTGACCGTGACCCCAAGTACATTAGTGTTCAATGCTAAGACCAGGAAGCTCTCGTTCAAGATCCGTGTGTTAACGAACCATAGAGTGAACACTGGATACTACTTTGGAAGCTTGACTTGGACTGACTCTGTTCATAATGTGGTTATTCCTTTGTCTGTGAGAACTCAGATCTTGCAACATTATTACGACGAGAACTAATTAGATCTTTGTATTAATCTTAACATCTTCCAATTCTGCATTCCTTTATTTGTTTCTATTTCTTATTTAGTTTATCATTGTGTTCATGATTTGATTGATAAATAAGATTAGTGTGGTTATTGAATATATTTACCATCTACAAAAGGCTTATTCATAAGTTTCTTGGGGAAGAAGATATCAAAGATATGGATAGGTTTTAACATTGTCATCAAACCAATTTTTATTAATAATGATTTATTCGTAAACACAATGATCCTTAAACAATCAGTTCTCATCATAGTAGTTTTGCAGGATTTGAGTTCTGACAGAGACAGGGATTATCACATTATGTACAGAGTCAGTCCAAGTCAAGCTACCAAAGTAGAATCCAGTGTTGGTTTTGTGTGTGGTCGAGACTCTAACAGTGAAGGAGACTCTTTTAAATTTGGAGTTAAACACTAGCGTCTCCGGCTTCACAACCACTATCACCCCAAGCGGAGGCTCGACCACGACTTTATAGATCGAGTCAACCGGTCCAACATTCGTGACGGTTCTAGTGAGATTTACTTCATCTTTGAGGTTTGGGATGGTTATTGAAGGTAAGTTGACGTCAAGAACAGAAGGTTTGGGGTTTGAACAGACTGTTACTTTACCGACAAGCTGAGAGATAGATGAGTCGTTGTAACCGGCTGAGCACAAGTAGAGTATGTAGTCTTCTGAGCCCATGTCATATATGAGACCAGGCTCTGCAGCTTTCTCAGGGTTCACGAGGCCTCCACCATAATCAAACGGATCAGCTACTTTGCCAGATGACCCTTTTGCAAAGATCTGCTCTCCGAATGGATCTGTTCGCCAAGCTGCAAAGTAAAGACAACGGTTCTTGAGTTGAATAGGGATTCAGGTTACTCTTTTTGACAGGTTGTTTCTGCAGTTGGAAGAAGATACTACTAACCTGTAGTGACAATGGCTGATCTAAAAGCAGCAGGGGACCAATCAGGATGCAGAGATTTGAGAAGTGCAATAACTCCTGAAATTGCTGGAGTCGACATAGATGTTCCTGAAAGAATACCAAATCCACCAACACTCATGGTGGAATTGGGAGATGTAGCAGCTAATATCCTTACTCCTGGTGCTGCTATGTCGGGCTGTATCATTAAATATAGAGTTTCTTATATAACAATTAAGATATTGCAAAACTTTTGATGGGGTCAAAACTTAAAAGACGTACTTTTAGAATCGCCGGGGACATCGAGTTAGGCCCTCTCGATGAGAAATGTACAACCTTTGTCCCAACAGGTTGTCCGGAGAGTGTTTTAGAAGGTTGTATCTTCACAACAGGTGATCTGTATTTTATTTCTTATGATTATTTGTCTCTTGAGAGGGAATGAAACAATTGAAAATGCGCTACTGTGAGAAGTGAAGATCAGAATTTATAGTTTCATACTTAGTTGAACGTATGTATGAAAGTATATTAGTCCCGAGCTCGTAGTCAATGGCGACACATGGGAAATCATCACCACATGGTGCGAGGGTGTACACCGGGTTTCTTGAGATGATCAGGCCAAGCCCGCCGGCTGTCTTCACAAAAGATGCAGCGCTCGCTATAGCAGTGTTAGTTCTTGAAGTTGTGAAACACAACACAACTTTCCCGGCCATTGTACTGTTGGGGTTAAGATTAAGGGACTCACAGACACTGCCAAAATATTACAGATTCAGTAGGATATCAGAAAATGATAGCTCTTCAATGATATTGATAACTCAACAGATGTCTTAGCAAGAAGTCAAGTTCTTGTTACTTACCCGCTGCTGTTCTCTGCATCCGCTGGATAAACCAAACTAGTTAAGCCAAGTTCCGGACCTGAGTAGGTTGCTTGACCCTGCAGTAAAATTGGAAATACACATAATCAGAGAGTTCCAAGTTAAAAAATGCTGATAACGAAAGAAACAAAACATTTTGTCCAACATATAACTCTGTTTTACCAATATCACTTTATTATTCCCAAGTGTAATAGGTGTTGGAAAGGACCGATCTAGAGTAGTTGCAGCCACTGTTAAGATCCAAGGAGCTGTGTTTGTCACGGTCTGAGCTTCTGGACCATTGTTACCACCTGCACAAACAACTACAATGCCTTTTGCAACAGCATGGAATAATCCAGTAGCAAACTCATTACTCAGGTCCGTTTCAGGAAGTAGAGGAACTTCACCAGTAAGAGAGATTGACAAAACATCAACACCGTCATGCATAGCTTCGTCGATTGCTTTCATGATGTCAGAATTTAAACAGGTTACTCCATCTACCTCTTCCAGATACCAGCAAGCCTTGTACATTGCAATGCGAGCGCGAGGTGCACCACCTCTCAAGGTTCCTCCAGCAAGACCTTTGTAGCTTACGTTAGGAACAAACGAACCACCCGCAGTGGAGGCAACGTGCGTGCCATGGCCGTCAAAGTCTCTAGCCGAAATGTAATCAGGAGATTTTGTGGAGTTGAATCCTTTGTTTTGAGCAAGAAACCCTTTTATAAAGTACTTAGCTCCTATAAGCTTTCTGTTGCAATCTGTTGATCTGAAGTTTTCTCCTGATTCACATCCTCCTTTCCATTTCCTTGGTATTGGTCCAACCCCTTTGTCATTAAATGATTCAGACTCTGGCCACACTCCTACAACCACACAAAACCCAAACTCACTGAGGCGCTAGAATAAATAAATTAAAAAGAAGCAGAAACAACAATAAATCTACAATGTGACTGAATCTACTTATACCTGTGTCAATAACGCCAATGATAACTTGGTCACCCATGTTGGTATCAGTTAGGAGATTATTTGGATTTGCACCAGAAAGGCCTAAGTAGTCCCATGTACGTGTTGTCGCGAGTTCATAAACACCATCCGGTATGACATGAACAACTTCAGGTAGTTCTGTTTCCAGAATAATGTGCATTAGCAATGAACACATTCAGCTAATCTTGCTTATAAAATCAAAGTAGTCTTAGTTTTATCACATATTTTGAATGCTAAGAAGCAAAGACAAGGTGTTTGACACAAGAACAGCTGCGAGTACCAGCGATTGTTCTGGCTTGGGACTTTGTGAGTTTGGCAGCAAAGCCTGAAAAACCATGCCGGTAACTATACACCATTGAGTCATGGGCATCCTTTTTACTGTAACACAAAATAAAAGTCTTGGTCTAAAAGCTTGAGACATAATGCGAACCACAAGAATTGAATAATTGATCAATCAGCTCTTTTTAGTACCTTCCAAGAAGTGTCGACAACATTTGGTGATGAGATTCTGTGACAAACTCAGGATCATCATGCTGCTTCTCACCCAGATACACTATATGAACCTATTTGATCATCATCACAACACAAACAAAACTTGGTCATCACCTGTTACTGGTTTCTCTTTTTTTTGTTATTTGGTAAAAAAGAAATATCAACTTACCTTGACCTCAGCACCAGCTCGTGCGGCATTCAGAACTATTATCAGAGTTAGCACCAAGAGAGTGGATGATACGTAGTTACTCATTCCACTAAAAAGTAGAGTTTTATTTTTCTCAATCTACTAGAAATATGAGAAAGCACCAGAATTTTAAATTACAACTTGTTGAGACTAAGAAGAAAATTCAAGAAGTGGAAATGTCTTAGTAGTTTGACCAAAAAACAAAAAAACAAAATGTCTTGGTCAAGCTAATTTGTATTCTTTGTGTGGCCAAGAATGCTTTGTTTTCTTTGTGTGGCCAAGATAGCAATGTATGAGATCAAATGGATGAACAGACCTTAAACAAGAGATAAATTCAACGTACCTGCAGTACTTGGAATGTTCCATGCCAGTAATTAAAGCATGTGAGTGAGTACTAAGAATTTTGTTGGCTAGTGACTTGGTAAGCTTGGCAGCAAAGTCTGAAAAGCCAACTCTGTAACTGTATACCATTGGATCATGTGGATCAACTTCACTGTGTGACACAAGTTAAAATCTTTGGTAGCAGCTTGAGACATATAAATGGAGTTGAATACTAACCATGTAGCTCGCTTTGTGCCTTCCACAAAATGACGACAACGTTTGGTGATGAGGTTCTGTGACTAGCTCAGGATCATCATGCTGCTTTCTCGCCCAGATACATTCTATACAAACCTATTTGTATCACAACACAAGCAAAGCTGGTCATGGCCAAGAGAGTGTTTTGTTTCTTCAATCTACTTGAAAACTATACGAGGAAGCTTACACTTCATGGAATTGTTCCTATTTTTGTAACACATGGTCTACTAAATTCTAACGTTTTTTAGGGTCAACACAATTAACACATAAATTCAAGACAAAAATTACTTACAAGTTACAGTCCATAATCAGCAACACAACCTTCACGTCTTCTTCACATAAAGCAAACTCCATAGTCTTCATATGAAGATGATTATAGAAAACGAGGCCTAGGTTTCGCCACAGGCTGGAGTTCTCTGAGGATTATTACGCGACCAACCGTGGCTTCTAGGTGCTGGTGACTACTAAGAACCAAAAATTCAAATGCTACCACAAATACAGAGTAGGGGACAAAACGTTACGCAAATAAAGTTGTAGAGTAAAACGTTTGAAGGAAAAAATGTTAAATTAGAGCAAATTGGCAAATCCACTGGGTCGCTTCTTCTTGTTATATATATCAACACATGGACCAGGAAGAAGATGATTGCTTAAAACATTTATTCACGTTTATAACAATCATTTAGTTCTCATCATAATAGTTTTGTAGAAGCTGCGTTCTCACAGACACGGGAATAGTCACATTATGCATAGAATCTGTCCACATCAAGCTTCCAAAGTAGAATCCAGTATTGATTTTGTGTGTGGTTGAGACACGAACCGTGAAGGGGACACTTATTTTTTTCGTGTTAAACACTAGTGTCTCTGGTGTCACAGCAACTCGAATCCCAAGCGGAGGCTCTACCACGACTTTGTAGACTGAGTCAGCTAGTCCAACGTTAGTGACTGTTCTGGTGAGAGTGACCTCGTCTTTAAGGTTTGGGATGGTGATTGAAGGCAAGTTGACATCAAGAACGGAAGGTCTGGGGTTTGAGCAGGCTGTTACTTTACCGGTTAGCTGAGATATAGATGAATCGTTGTAACCAGCAGAACATAAGTAGAGAATGTAGTCTTGTGTGCCCATGTCGTAGATGAGACCCGGGTCTGCAGCTTTCTCAGGGTTAACGATGCCTCCACCGTAGTCAAATGGATCAGCTAGTTTGCGAGATGATCCTTCTGCAAAAATTTGCTCTCCGAATGGATCTGTTCTCCAAGCTGCAAAGTAATGAACACAAATGTTGAGTTCAGTGAGTAAAATTTAAGGTTTTGCTTTTGATCAGTTTTTCTGTGATTGAATTAAAATACAAACCTGTAGTGACAATAGCTGATCTAAAGGCAGCAGGAGACCAATTAGGATGCAAAGCTTTAAGGAGTGCAACAACTCCTGCAATAACTGGAGCAGCCATCGATGTTCCAGCAAGAATATCAAATCCCCCAACACTATTATTCGAGTCAGGCGATGTAGCAGCTAATATGCTTACTCCTGGTGCCCCTATGTCTGGCTGCATCGCGAAAAAGTAGTTTTTTGTGTAAATTTAAAACATCAGATGCAGAAAATTTGAGCATTAGGATCCATACATACTTTGAGGATCGCTGGGGAAATCGAGTTAGGTCCTCTTGATGAGAAAGTTGCCACCTTTGTCCCCACAGGTTGTCCAACGAATGTTCTAGAAGGTTGTATCTTCACAACAGGTGATCTGCAGAGCACAATTCCAGCCAAAAGATAAATTACTGATTCAGAAAGTTGCGTACCTTTCTTAGAATTCTACGTTTCTTGGAGTGAGTGCAACAACTGAGATCGTAATACTTATTTATAGTTTCATACCTAGTGGAGCGTATGTAGAGAAGTACATCTGTCCCAAGCTCGTAATCAATTGCTACACAGGGGAAATCATCTCTACATGGAGAAAGATTGTAACCCGGATTTCTTGCGACGATCACGCCAAGACCACCGGCTGCCTTCACATAAGAGGCAGCTTTCGATACAGCAGTAAAGAGCGTGTTTGTAGTGAAACACAACACAACTTTCCCGGCCAGTATATGGTTTGGGTTGAGATCAAGGTACTCACAGACACTGCAAAATGTTACGTCAATACGTAGAAAAATGTCAGACAACTGACATAAACTGTCATTGAACATTGCAAGTAAGTGTTAACAAAACTAGAAAATCGATGATACCCGCTATAGGTCTCATTGGTGTTTCCTGCATTCTCTGGGTAAACCAAACTGGTGAAGCCGAGTTCTTGACCTGTGTACAGTGCTTGACTCTGCATTAACAGTTGGAAAACTCATACTCAGACAGTTTCAAGATTGGGTTGTATTTGTTAAAGAAAAACAGAAACGTTTGCAAAGGATAAAAACATCTACTCTTATTTACCAGTATCACTTTGCGGTTCCCCAGTGTAATATGTGTGGGAAAGGACCGATCCAGAGTAGTTGCAGCCACCGTTAAGACCCAAGGAGCCGTGTTTAACACGGTCTGAGCCGCTGGGCCAGAGTTTCCACCTGCACAAACAACTATTATGCCCTTTGCTACTGCATGGAACGCTCCAGTAGCAATCCTATCACGCAGGTCGGTTTCAGGATACAGAGGAATTTGAGCTCCCAGTGAGAGAGATAAAACATTAACACCATCGTGCATAGATTCATCCATTGCTTTCAAAATGTCAGAAGATGAACAGGCCACTGCACCTAGCTGATCCACATACCAACAAGCCTTGTATATTGCTATGCGAGCACGGGGTGCGCCACCTCTCAAGTTTCCTCCAGCAAGTCCTTTGTAGCTTATATTAGGAACAAATGAACCACCTGCAATAGATGCGGTGTGTGTGCCATGTCCAATAAAGTCTCTAGCGGAAATGTAGTCACGTGATTCTGTGGAGTTGAATCCTTCGTTTTTAGCTAGAAACCCGTTGATAAAGTACTTGGCTCCTATGAGCTTTCTGTTGCAGTTTGTTGATATGAATTTTTCTCCTGATTCACACCCTCCTTTCCAATGTCCCGGTATTGGTTCAACCCCATTGTCGTTAAATGATTCAGACTCTGGCCACACTCCTATAACAATACAAAACGACAAGTCATTGGGGCGCTACAATAAAGATATGATCTGAAACATGAACTAAGACCAAGCTACAATCTAATGAAAACTACTTATACCTGTGTCAATAAAGCCAATAATAACCTGATCACCCATGTTTGTATCATTTAAGAGGTTATTCGGATAAGCAGCAGAAAGACCTAAGTAGTCCCAAGTCCGAGTCGTCGCAAGTTCATAGAAACTATCCGCCATAACATGAACAACTTCAGGAGAATCTGTTTCCAAAAGTGCATCAGCAATGAAACTACTCAGCCAAACCAAAGCAATCTACTATTTTTCGATCATCAAAACGCTAAGAAGCCATATACATGGTAAAAATATAAGATAACAAGAACCCTATGAGAGTACCAGCAAGTTTCTTGGCTTGTGAGTCGGTAAGCTTGGCAGCAAAGCCTGAAAAGCCATGTCGGTAACTGTATACCATCGAATCATGTGCATCTGCTTTACTGTGATACAAGATAAAAACCAATCAAGTAATGGAGTTAAATACTAAACAAGTAACTAGCTTTTTACCTTCCAAGAAGTGATGACAACATCTGATGATGAGATTCTGTGACAAACTCAGGATCATCATGTTGTTTCTCACCCAGATACACTATATGAACCTATTCAGTCATCATTACAACACAACCCAAAACTTAGTCATAACCTATTCCTTGTTTTTTGCTGTCTGATAAAAAGAAGAAGAAGATCAGTATTACCTTGCTTTCATCACTACCTCTTACAACATTCAAAACAGATACCAAACATAGCACCAAGAAAACCAACAATGATCTGCAATTCCTCATTCCAAACATAAAAATAAAAAATAGAGTTTTTTCAATTTTGCAATTAACTTGAAAGACTTTATATTTGAGAAAGCAGCCATCAAAGTTATATAGAAAAGGTGATTTCGTTTTCTTGCAGAACAAATTAAAAACTAGTGGAGCTTAGAGACCAAAGTCCAAGAAAGAAAAATGCAAAACGTCTTCGTCAAAACTCAATTCAAAAATTATGTCTTTTCGTGGCTTAATAAAGCTCTCCATGGAATTTTCAACGAAACTGTGAAAATTAAATGAGAACACGAACCTATTGATTTATCAAAGTATCAGCAGTGATTTACTTAGTATGTTCCAAGCCAGTCGACTTCGCCGACCATTACGACGGGTGTCTTGTCGGAGACTCTGTTTTGTAACTTGTGAACTATTAGTTGCAGAGATTTTAGTTAGCTTCCGCGAAACCATTTTTTAGTAGAATCAAATTTTGTGATCAATGTATGAGAGAGCATCCGAAATTTTCCCGATGAACGGGAACAACAGAAGGTAGAAGGATGTGATTTTGAGAAGATGGTTTGAAGCGGGCCACAATTTTATTGGGCTTAATTTTTAGATTTTTTAAGCCCATTTAAAATTCTATCAAGCCACTATTAGTCATCTTGACTAGTAAGTGTGTATGTATATGTCCTCTAATTTGATTTGATGAGGATGATCAATTTTTATCGTTAAGAAATCATAATCAAAACAAGAGAATGTGATTATTGGTTTTTATATATTTTTTTTTTTCGTTTTTTTATTTTTGGCGTAGAATTTTTTTAAAAAAAACTTGAATGTTAATTTGTGTAGTTTTTTGTTTTATGTTGATGGATTATATTTTTCCAATCAATAAATATGAAATGTAATCAAAGCAATGTGAGTAGTGGTTTTTCAAGGAGAAACCCCAGAAAAATATAGATTTTTTTTTTTGAAAGTTGTTAAAACACTTAAAAGCTAATTTCCTTTTTTTTAAGAAAACTATTTTAAAAAAAATATAGATTATTGCAAAAACTATTTAACCACTATTTCAAAAACCACAAACATTCAAGGCTTTAATATTAAATGTTATATGAAACTAAAAACGTTAGCTATTCATTTGATAAATAAATTGATGTTGGATACTTTATTGTCTTATTGAAAATGCATACAAGCTTAATTACAAGAAC